CAAGTCTGGTGTTTGAAGTCAATGTTGTGTGGTATGTGTGTGTGTGTGCGTGTGTGTGTGTGAGAGAGAGACAGAGAGAGAGAGAGAGAGAGAGGGAGGGAGGGAGGGAGAGAGGGAGGGAGGGAGTGCACACATGCCATAGGCAACTTGGTTATTGCTATGTCTAACTAGGGATTCCAAGCATCTTATTCAATTCACATTTTCTTTATTCAGAGAGAAATACTTTGCCTTTGTTGTATATAGAAGTGTGCTCTAATAGCCGAGTTGTGAAAGCTGAATATTGTCTGTATGAACACAATAAATATAAAGCAGCGATTTTTTTAGCATATAACCTAGGAAGTTAGTTAATTCCATAGCTACTGAATAAGCTAGGACAAGGAGAAATGGTAATCAAGAAGATAAAGGACTGCTATGATTTGCATGTGTCTTCCAAAACTAATATGGCAAAATTTGGTGAGGAAAGAGATTAAGAAAGCAAAACGTTTATCCAACTATAGAATTAAGAGGTAGAGCCTTTGGGAGGTGACTGTAAATAAGATCATCAAGGTGAGCCCCCTGTGATTGAACCCTGCTGGCTTTGTAAGGAGAAGGGAGGAGAAAGACCCATAGGCACAGACTTGCCAGCTCTTGCCCTCTTGTCACCATGTAATGTTCTTTGCTACCTTAGGGTTCTGCATAACCCCTCCAGCAAGCATGTCCACACCAGATGTGGCCCCTGGCCCTTGTATTTCCAAAGTGAGCTGAATAAACCTCTATTTTTAGAAATCAGCCAGTTTTGTGTGTTCTGTTATTAAGCACAGAGAATAGACAAAAATGAGGGCATAACCTCTGTTTCTAATTTATTCTGGGCATATAGTTGGTAGTCAGTAGTGTTTGTTGAAAGAAATATTGTGAGATCCATGAGAGTGTAAGGAAGAGAGGTCCCTGGTGTCACAGTGGAGAAGTAGATATACTTGAGTTAGATTGGAACAGAGAAATGGAAAACCTGAGGAGCTGCTTAGTCTCTCAGTCCTCTTTCTGGGTATAGAACTCAGGATGTGGAGGAGCCTTAAGATTGTTCCCGGGGGAGCAGCAGATGGCATAGTGGTTATGTCACTGGATTCCAACATGGCCAACCATGAGTCAAGTCCCAGACCAAGCGGATTGAAAATCACACTGGCCGCGTACTCATGCACACTCAAAATCCCAGGAGGAGAATGGAAGAGAAGGAATTGTGTCATGGCCATCCCTTCTGGGGGGTGATTTCTCATTTTCTCTCTCACTGTCTCTGCCTCTCTCTCCCTCTCTGGCGAGTACACACACCCTGTGGCAGAAACTTCTTTAAAAAAATGATTGTTCCTAGTTGTAATATTTGGCATACGGATAGATATTTAATGTGGTGTGTGTATGTGCGTGTGTGTGTGTGTGTGTTTGTGTATGTGTGTGGGTTAGCCTTTTGTCACTCTATAACTCTGTAAGGTCTTGTATAAATGCCTGGGCTGAGCCATAGGTCATTAAAGAAGCAACTTCCTGCCTGGATCTGGGCTAGTATTCAAATGCAATGCAAGCCTCACTCCCTGCAAGTCAGCAGAAAGATGGCAAGTGTGATTCAGGAGTGACAGTCATGACACCAGTGAATTTTGAAGATAACAGTAGAGACCATCATCCTTATCACCCTTGATCTTCGTCATGTAGAGATTCTCTTTCTACTGTTATCTTGAGGGTCCTGGATTGAATTTTCTTAACAACTTTTCTGATTTTCCTTACATAAACTCAGAAGGATTTTTTTATTTCAGAAAAAAATAAACAAAGCCTTCGACACTATGAGTTAAGTGTATAAATTTAGAAAATCACTTTGTAGTGGTTTCAAAGACTGCCAATCTAGTTGATAGAGGTCTGAATACACTTTCTGTCCTGTCTCCAGAAAAAAATTATCTGAAACATATCTTTTAATGGAGGATAATCTGAGGAAAACTATGTTCTAGAAAGAGAGAGATAAAAAATATTTCCACACATATTTGAGTACTAAAGGTTAAATAGATATGAGCTTCAAATGAAATCCCAGAAATGTCAACCTTTTTTCTCTTTAATGCTATAAAACCCAGAGACTAAGAAGATAAAATGCCCAGATGACAGTATTCTAAAATTCTCCCTACAGTTCGGCCTCCATATGAAAAGAAAAAAAAAAAGTATGTCAAGAGATATTACAGAAGTTTGTCATGAAATTACACTTTGCTTAATGACCTATCTTTTACCTACATTCAATCTATCTCATTCTCCATAACTATCTCTTAAAGAGTGTCTTACATACAAAGAAAAAAATATACAATGAAGTAAAATATTGGGTCATCAGGAAGGTCATGATGCATTTTTGCATAGGAAAAATGGGGAAATACATCATGACTTTCCTGATGACCTAATGGTTTCCACAAGCTAGCAGCAATGGAGTCAAACATACATTAATCAAATCCAAAAGGATAGGGAAAAAAAAAGAATAAAACTAATGATTTCCAACTGAAAGATTTTTAAAATCTTTTTATAAAATGTATGATTATTTGGAAAAAAGTAAATTGAACATTGAGAATTTGTTATGTCTTTAGGGATGAAGATGGTACCTTGCAAACTAAGTAACAAATGATCATTTGAACTAGAAGAGTTGGTGGTTGACAGTATAGTGTTAACTGCTGAGTGGTGGCATGTGTTTCTAGGCCAATGGCCATGCCTCTAAGGATGAAAGATGTTTAGGAGCCTGGATCAAGTTCTGGTGTTCATGGAGTATATTCTGGGAATTGTAGAAGATATCCCCTTTAAAATGGACTAAAATGAAATTCTATACTGTACAGGAACTCTGCTTTCCTGTCAACTCCTCTTTGGAAACAAACTACATGCAGTTTGTTTAATTAATAGATTAATATTTACTAACTTGTTTATTCAAGGTAGAATTTTTATTAGGCTTTTAACAATGGAGATTACTGAGGAGAATAACAACCCAAAGAAAAGGTCTATCTTGGTTTAGTGACAGAGAAATCATTTTGGCCTCTTTCACTGTCATTTCTAGATCTTCATTCTAATGCTGCACATACTCATACCTTCTCCCGTGTCATTATCCACCAGAAACAATTTAAATTTAGCATAAAGCAAGGTCTGTTGTTTGTGGGAGGTAAAGCATGAGAAATTTAAGATATTAATATTATTGATGACATTTATTTAACTTTTACTATGTGCCTGGTATTGACCTAAAGTTTTAATATGTATGGGGTTGTTGGGAAAGTCATGACGTATTTTTCTATGCAAAAATGCATCCCAACTTTTCAGACAATTCAGTATTTACTCATTAAATCCTAATAAACAGCCCTGTGAGTTGGGCCTTTTGTTATCTCTCATTTATCTATGAAGAAACTAAGATATTATGATATTAAGATCAAATTCACAGAAGAAACAGAGATAGCCTCGATGGGACCAGAGGCAATGGACACAGGCAAGGTAAAGATAGAAGTAAAGTTTGAGATGGGATAGAGAGCACTTGTAAGGGATTGTGTTCACCTTCTCTGCAAAGTCGGAGGCAATATGGGGAGAGGTTGGTGAGAGGGAACTGAAAATGAGGACACTGTAGTTAGGCACGCTGATATCAGGCACTTTCCATAACACTTTTACCTATTCTTTACCTTCTAAGGAGCTATTTATTATAACTTCACTTGACAAAGGGCATTGAGAATTTGAGAAGTTACTTATTAATGGCCACACACTCTATAAATTCAATATCGTTTGCCATTCAGTTTTGGTTCTTAACCCTGGGTCATCTTACCTCTCAATTTTCAAGTTGGTGGGAAAATCAAGAAGAGCAGGAAAGGTTTGAGCAGTCACTGTGGGGAGTGTAACTCACAACCAGATGAAGGGAGCAAAGTCTTGTCCCGCAAATCTGCACACCAGGTCTGAGGGACTAAGATTATGAAGTGTGATGTTAACACACAGTATCTCTGGAGGATTGAAAGGTTCTCTACACAGGGCAGCATACAAAGGATGAAGTTTGGAACTCCTGGAGACAGAGATGGATAGAGTGGCTCAGGTCACACTTGTGACATGAGTGTACACAAAGACCCCAAGTCGGAGGTAAACATTATATCTGATGTGTGCCATGACAGAGGAACAGAGAGGGCCATATTTCCTCAATTCTAATTCTAAAATTTTACATTTTAATGCCTCAAAATTGAGATATATCTTTAAATGAGTGACAGTTTTTTTACACTGATGGCCATGTAGCCATTATGATGTAGTTGTCTATACAGTCTCGAGCTTGGTCATGGCTGTTCATAGCCTTCACTTCAGTGGAATTATGTTCATCGTGGATACTACAAGTGTCAGGTTGTAGTGCCATTTGTATCATCTTCTTACAAAATATTATTCCTCACTGAAAAAATACTATATACATAAAATCGTGGAAATAGTGCTCTGAAGCAGGTATGATATGTTAATAAAGCAAATATTTATAGCAATGGGGCTGACCCCACAGCACAGTGCATAAGGGAACCAGATTCCATATAGTCAACTACAGTTCTAATCCCGGCCCTGGGCAGCTTGAAAAACACACTGGGCACATGTGTGTACATGCCCCAAATCCAAATGAGATGGAGAAATGGAGAAAGGATAGTACCATTATTATTCCACACTGGGAGGTTTTCTCTCTCTCTCTCTCTCTCTCTCTCTCTCTCTCTCTCTCCCCCTCCTCCCTCTCTCTCTCTGCTTCTGGCAATTAAAACAAATATATTTATGGCAATAAGGTAAATATGACTTCAAGTTCCTATTTTTGTGACCTATACCCACAAGTACATGCAGGTATTTATGTTAACTGAGATAACGAAAAATAGAATCACCTAGCACAAATTAAGCAACATAACTAAAGACAGGAGAAATTGCCAAATACCTGGGAATACATGTATTCCAGTAATCTCTTGCTCCACAAAATTAGATGATTTACAGTAATACTAATCATCTTATTTTCTCACATGGTCTCCGTGGAACAGGAATTCAGGAAGAGCTGCCTGGATGATTCTGATCTCTAACAAAGTTGAAGTTGCAAGGTGACCAGAGAGGGGACAGCAGGGACCTGAGGCAGCCAGAGTCTGGTCCAACATCTTTTTCTCTTTACATAGTTTTCAGGCCTCTCTGCATGGGCAACTTTGATCTTTGAAACACCATGGCAGTCCCAGAGCAGTCAGACTGTTTATCAGGCATCTGAAGGCTTCAAGAGGAAGTGTCTAATGAGCAAGATAGAAGCTGAATCCCCTTTAATAACCTAGTTTCCGGAGTCACGTGGCTTCACTTTTACTATCTTCTATTGGTTACAAACAATTTGAAAGGTTGTCCAGATCAAGGGATGAGGAAATCACTTCCCTTCTTGACTGGGAGGTAGCAAGTTTCTAGAAGAGCATCTGGTCTGGGAGATATTGTTGCAGCTGTATTTGGAAAATTCAATCTTCCACAAGATGAAAGAAACGTTAACATGACAAGAAGCTGGTGTTACCAATTTATTCATTGTGCAGGACTGAACATTAAAGCATAGAAATTCCACTGACCTTCCTACTGTTTATAGAGAAACCATCTAACTTCCAGCAGCTTCTGACTCAGTCAGAGGGAAAAAAATTAGACCACAAGGTTATACTAATTAAACCCTAGTGTTCTGGAAATATATTGTCAATCCTGAAGGTATTAGAGAGGTCAAATACATGATCACCAGTTACATGTCTTTTATGTCTAAATAATCCTAGAACAGTGCATACAGTAAGTTAAGAATTCTAAATGATAAGAAAATATTATATCATACTTTAACAGGCAGCATAGTCTCTTAATGGTGCAGAAAATAATGGGTTCTCTTGCAATCTATGATATCTTTTGCTTTTATGGAAATACAGTAGGTGCCATGAAGATGTGAAGTCAGCAGAAATTTCTTCTTCCTGGTATAGTTTTAAAAGGTCCCAGAGAAGTGATCTATGCAATTTGGAAGGTAGAAATGAGACTTAAGAAAGAAGCAGAAAGTGAAGGAGTCTATTTGAGAAGCACTTTAAATGGAGCCTCATCCCCTCTATCCAAGCTTTGCCCTATCCCTCTAGGGATACACATGTACTTCCCACTCTAGTTGGTCTTTCTACTTTCCCTTAAGAAATTCCTGCCAATACTTCATGACTCCTCGCAGGTTTGGCTAACCCATTGTTGAGAAGGTTTTTCATGGGCTACTACTAGGAGAGGTAGAGTGAGGTGGCAAGCTGCAGGATAGGGCTTGATTTGTGTTTTACCTAGAGAGATTTTTGGAAAGGTTTCTAGTGATAAACAAGATTCATAGCCTAAAGACAAAACCAAAGATGTTAAGTCACTGCAATATGCCACACTGCTCCATGCTCTGTCATGGAGCCTCCCATTCAGTCACTCTCCATTCAGTTAACATCCATTTATTGAGCATCTTCTAAGTGTCCCATTATTTAGTCATCTTCCATTCATTTGGTTAATGCCTATTTGTGAAGCCTTTTCTAGGCATCTTATAGTTTTCTCTCTCTCTCTCTCTCTCTCTCTCTCTCTCTCTCTCCCCCTCCTCCCTCTCTCTCTCTGCTTCTGGCAATTAAAACAAATATATTTATGGCAATAAGGTAAATATGACTTCAAGTTCCTATTTTTGTGACCTATACCCACAAGTACATGCAGGTATTTATGTTAACTGAGATAACGAAAAATAGAATCACCTAGCACAAATTAAGCAACATAACTAAAGACAGGAGAAATTGCCAAATACCTGGGAATACATGTATTCCAGTAATCTCTTGCTCCACAAAATTAGATGATTTACAGTAATACTAATCATCTTATTTTCTCACATGGTCTCCGTGGAACAGGAATTCAGGAAGAGCTGCCTGGATGATTCTGATCTCTAACAAAGTTGAAGTTGCAAGGTGACCAGAGAGGGGACAGCAGGGACCTGAGGCAGCCAGAGTCTGGTCCAACATCTTTTTCTCTTTACATAGTTTTCAGGCCTCTCTGCATGGGCAACTTTGATCTTTGAAACACCATGGCAGTCCCAGAGCAGTCAGACTGTTTATCAGGCATCTGAAGGCTTCAAGAGGAAGTGTCTAATGAGCAAGATAGAAGCTGAATCCCCTTTAATAACCTAGTTTCCGGAGTCACGTGGCTTCACTTTTACTATCTTCTATTGGTTACAAACAATTTGAAAGGTTGTCCAGATCAAGGGATGAGGAAATCACTTCCCTTCTTGACTGGGAGGTAGCAAGTTTCTAGAAGAGCATCTGGTCTGGGAGATATTGTTGCAGCTGTATTTGGAAAATTCAATCTTCCACAAGATGAAAGAAACGTTAACATGACAAGAAGCTGGTGTTACCAATTTATTCATTGTGCAGGACTGAACATTAAAGCATAGAAATTCCACTGACCTTCCTACTGTTTATAGAGAAACCATCTAACTTCCAGCAGCTTCTGACTCAGTCAGAGGGAAAAAAATTAGACCACAAGGTTATACTAATTAAACCCTAGTGTTCTGGAAATATATTGTCAATCCTGAAGGTATTAGAGAGGTCAAATACATGATCACCAGTTACATGTCTTTTATGTCTAAATAATCCTAGAACAGTGCATACAGTAAGTTAAGAATTCTAAATGATAAGAAAATATTATATCATACTTTAACAGGCAGCATAGTCTCTTAATGGTGCAGAAAATAATGGTTTCTCTTGCAATCTATGATATCTTTTGCTTTTATGGAAATACAGTAGGTGCCATGAAGATGTGAAGTCAGCAGAAATTTCTTCTTCCTGGTATAGTTTTAAAAGGTCCCAGAGAAGTGATCTATGCAATTTGGAAGGTAGAAATGAGACTTAAGAAAGAAGCAGAAAGTGAAGGAGTCTATTTGAGAAGCACTTTAAATGGAGCCTCATCCCCTCTATCCAAGCTTTGCCCTATCCCTCTAGGGATACACATGTACTTCCCACTCTAGTTGGTCTTTCTACTTTCCCTTAAGAAATTCCTGCCAATACTTCATGACTCCTCGCAGGTTTGGCTAACCCATTGTTGAGAAGGTTTTTCATGGGCTACTACTAGGAGAGGTAGAGTGAGGTGGCAAGCTGCAGGATAGGGCTTGATTTGTGTTTTACCTAGAGAGATTTTTGGAAAGGTTTCTAGTGATAAACAAGATTCATAGCCTAAAGACAAAACCAAAGATGTTAAGTCACTGCAATATGCCACACTGCTCCATGCTCTGTCATGGAGCCTCCCATTCAGTCACTCTCCATTCAGTTAACATCCATTTATTGAGCATCTTCTAAGTGTCCCATTATTTAGTCATCTTCCATTCATTTGGTTAATGCCTATTTGTGAAGCCTTTTCTAGGCATCTTATACTGAGTGAGGCAATGGATATCCATGTTTTATCTTGCTTCATGGAGATGCTGAGTTGAAGAGAAAGGAATTAAATAAAATTTTCAATTACAAATTAGAAATCAAATGAAAATTAAAGCTATTCTGAGAAATGAATTATAGGGTTGAAAGATTTTACTAGAGGCATATTAGCTAAAATTTTAAATCGAAATTTTTATACAATGTGTTTTATTATACCATATTTTTAACCAATTTAAACTGAATTTAATTTGATATTTTTATAACAGAGTTTTCCTCTACATTAAATACGTGATATGATTCAGCAATCACTGAAAATAATAGTATTTAATTGTTGAGAAGTACTTCAAATGCATTTTTCTCATTAATTCTTGCAACATATCTATAATGTAAGTAGTGTTATTCTTCTGTTTAACGGACACCAATGAGATACAGAGAAAAAGAAAAACTTGCCCAACCAAAGTCACACTTCAGGCAGCTGAATTTGAGACCCTGTGTTTTTACCATATGAGCTGTTTTATGGTCATAAAACCATTATAAATGCCTTATGATTTCCTCAAAATTTGCAATAAAAGCAATATGTTTTTAAAAGTTTTATGCTCCTCCATTTTCTATTACCCATATTTATCTATAATTTACATAACATCTACTGTGGTTTTTTGAGTAGGCATTTGACAGCTGTATATACCCATGATATCAATCACAGAGGAAAGTCCCAATTTCCCAACACCTCCAGAAGTTTTCTTATATGTCTTATTGGTCTATCTCTTCATCTCTGCAAGACCTAGACAGACACACAGAGAATCAGAATATCGTATACTATATTCTCTTCGGTGCTTTTATATATGGTTTCTTGGTGCTCAGCGTCATGCTTTTGAGATCCATTTATGCTGTGTTATAGATTAGTGATGTCAATTTTTTTATTGCTGAATATTATTCCCTGGCATGTCTGTATCACAATTTGTTTATCCACTCACCTGCTGGTGAATGTTTGGATTAGCTCCAGTTGTTGGATATTATGAATGAAACTGATGTGAATATTTGTGTACATGTCTGTACGTGGACATCATAAGTTTTCTTGTCCTTGGGACAAATACCAAGGAATGAAATTGTTTGAATTTATATTAATTGTATGTTAGATTTTTATTTAAGTAGTGATACTATTTTATATTGCTGCCAGCAGTGATAAAGAGTTCCATACATACACACTCATATATATACGTGTGTGTGTGTGTGTATGTGTGTGTGTATGTATGGAACTCTTATCACTGCCGGCAGGAATATAAATACATATGTGTATGAATATATATGGATGATGGATGGAATATACATGTATATACATATACATACATACATATACATGTAGATACATATAGATAGATAGATAGATCAAGAGAGAAATAGAGAGCCCTTTGTATGACTTACATATTACAAATATTTTCCCTCATTCTGTGGGGTTATTTTTATATTTTAACAGTACTTTTCAAAAAATACTATTAAGTGTATACTAGTTTACATTTTGATTAAGTCTAATAAAACAAAGTGGGTTTTTTTATTATTAATATTTTTGTGCTATATTTTAAAAATATTTGCTTATGCCAAGGTTGGAAGGATTTTGCCTTATGTTTTCCTCTGTAACTTTTATAGTTTTAGACTTTACATGTAAATATATGATCCATTTCTAGTTATTTTTTAAATGATGAGATAACAGTTAATGTTTGTCTATTTTTACATGATTTATTTTATTCATGGGGCCAGCCAGTGGCATAATGGTTAAGGTGGCTATATCCCACATGGCCAAGAAAGCAGTTCAAGTCCTGGACCAGTAGCCTGAAAACAGTCTGGGTACATGTGCATGCTTGCCTGAAGTCCAGAAAGGAGAAATGAAGAAGGAATTGTGGTGTGACTATTCCCCAAGGGGGGCAGTTTCTTACTTTCTCTTTCTCTTTCTCTCTCTCTCTCTTATGAGTGCACACACCCTCTAGCAAATTTTTTTTCCAAGTTTATTATATTGATCATAGAGAGCACAGGCACACACACAAGAGACAGAGCAAAAAAAGTACTGTCAACAGAGTCTCATCACCCATGATTCCCTTTCCCCAGTCCTCCAGTTCTTCAGGATTTGGGGTACACAGGCCCGTGACTGG